AAAAAATTAAAATTTTTATTATAATTTAGAATTTATTTATTTAAAAAATATAAAAAAATATTAATATAAATATTTTAACTTTATAATAATTTTTAATTCAAATAATTTATATTTATTTAATAATATTATTTTAAAAATTTTTTAAATTTTATATATTAAGTTGTATAAATATTATAAGTAATATATTATTTTATAACAAATTATATATATAATTATAATTAAAAGGTCAAATTTATATATATTAGTTTGTAAAATTTGTGTATAATATAAAAATTTTTAATTAAAATAAAAGTATAAAATAATAATAATAATAAAAGTTATAAATTAGTCTTAAAAAAATTATTTTTAGATATTAAAGTATTTATATTTTAAGCTTGATTTAATTTACATAATTCTTTATTAAATTAAATATATTTGAAAAAAAGGCAATTTTTTTGTTCCCTACTATATATAGCATATTTTAGTTTAAGTATTATTTAAAGTTCTGATTATTATGTTGATATATATTTTATTAGTATCTAGAAATCTTATTATTTTCTCAATCTAATTTCATTGTCACTAAATTTTGATTTGAAGAATATAACTTTTTACATTTTTATATCAATTGGAGTTATCCATTTTGTTTCTAAATTAAGGTTGAGATATTTTTGTTATTTTGTATAGACTTTTACCTCATGTTTTGTATTTACTTAATATACTATATGTAACTATTTTGAATCTCTTTATATCTTTTTAAATGTGTACATATAAAATATTGATTGATCTTTTGATCTATATCCACTAGGCACACATGTCAGATAATAGTGTCTTCATCAGTTTTAGGTTTCCAGAAAGCTTTTTTGTTTAAGTTTCTTTCTGTTTTTTGTAATTTATAAGTGTTCTAAAAATTATATACTAAATAGCAAAGTTGTTTTCTTTTCAATTTGGTTCTTCTATATACGTGCGAATATCTTCTTCTTCTTATACCCAGAAGACTAGCTATTTATTTTTATTAATGAACTCTTTCTTTAGAATAATAACACGGAAAGAAGGTTTTTCTAGACTATTTACTTCCTCCGCAGAAAGATTTAATTACCTGTGATTATTTTTAGAATTCGCTTTTATAAACTAACTCGAATATATTATCGATTTTCTATATTTTTCCTTGAGCTTGAAAATTTCACTGTGAAAGTATTGAAATTTCCCACATCAGCCTCAAGGGCATATGCTTCTGTAAATCTCCTGGTGCCACATATGCTCTATACAAATTATCTTGCAGTATATTACCACGATGCAAATAAGATTCCGTGTGAACTATCTGATCATATGCAACACAAAGTAACTGTGCTATTGAATAAAGATTTTGCGCAAGGATCCCATTTTCGCGATTTCAAAACAAGACAAAACAATATCTAAAAATGCAGATTAATTAAAGATGTGCTTCGTTATTAGAAAATTAATATCTTTTATACAAATTCCTTGCGGCAACCCTTTGATACGTGAAGTAATTTAAGTGTTACTCCTGTAGTGTTCCTCAATATTTCCAAATTCCTTAGAAGGAATCCATGATAACAAGTATTTATTCCCAGCCAATTTTTCCTTTCATCCATTATTCGCCAAGAGATTAATTATCCTTTAGTTTATAGTTAAATACCTAATAATTGATCTCTTTCGACCAATGCATAACCATTTCTATCAACACTCCATCGGCATCACCCGTCTCAGCTGATTTTTGATAATACTGTATCTCGCGTCTCAGATGATTTTTTCAACTCCCAATTCCGTGACGATAGAAACATTCAACATTATACGTCCCACTTACATAACCCATCTCAGCTGATTTTTGGTAATATTCGAATGCCTTATCATAGCAAACGCCAACAGCATGTGCATCCTTTAAAATTATTGATTTGATTTTCGGTAAAAAACATATCCGTTGTAGTGGTAACTTTCTTGAAAACAAAGATTATTATCATAATTAATATAAATTATTATTATTATTTTACTTATTTTTAAGTAAATTTGTTATAATATATGATCAAATATTTGTTTTGGATTCGTTTTAAGAATTTGAATAATAACTATATTTATTTCACTTAAATAAAATGAAAATCTAGTTCTATTTGATTGTATTGAGAATTTGAAGGAATTTTTTTTTAAAAAATTGGTTTTTTAAATAAAATTAATATTCAAATCAATAAACTATTACTTCAAAAAAGAGGAATCAAAAACAAGAATTTTAAGATCCATACATTTGAATTTAGATTATATGAGTAAAACTTTATGTTAATTCAAAAACCTTTTTTTTTTTAAAGAATTGAAGTAAAATGGTAAGCGCCTTATTAAATTTTTCAAATATAACGTGCCTAATATACTTTATAAACTTCCAATATTCATTCACAATTTTTAACTTTTTTTTGCAAATGGTTAGAGGTTTACGAAAGTTTGCTTACTAATTGTATGCGATTGGCGAAATCGACCGATTTAACGTTTTTTCCCGATGAGCTCTTTTACCTATCGCGGATGTATGACCATATTTGTATGGCACGAAAATGCCGTTGAAATGGTATAAGTTGCCTCAGAATTGTCTTTTTGCTCCCACAAGATCAATTCAAAAAAAAAAAATGTGTTATGTGAGTATGAATCTTTCCTTTTTTTTTTTATCAATGGTTATCTTCCTAAGAATAAAAAGTTTGACCCGTTATGTAATTTAGAAAGTAACTTGTCAAACTTGCAATAAGTCAACGTGGGCCGGGTGTGGCAAACACGCTCAATCCGGTATGTGAAGAAATCGATTTTTCCACATTCTTTTTGCGCACACGAATTCATTACGTTTCGCTTTTCCATCGAACCATAGTAATGGATAAAATTCCTGAGGAGGAACGTTGTAAGTGCAAGCGAGAAAACGAAAACTCCGAAGGAACAAAGATTTCAACTGTGGCCACAGTGACCGTGATATCCATGATATTGTTCGTTTTGTGGTTTTCACTTTAGAAAAACAAAAGAATCGCGTCAAATGTTCGAGCTTCTTCCTGCGATCATACCTTTGTAAAGAAATTCCAGATTTTCAATCAAATTCAATCAACTACCTTTACTATTATTATTCATTATAATCATTCATCATTTTTTAATAAAGTCATTAAGTTGAATAATTTTTAACCATTTACGTATGTATTGTACGAGGTGTTGATGTAGTAAAGACTTCATAACATACTACACGCAACATACATTGGTGGTCGCGTATCGATTGCTAATCAATGTGATTAATGCGTCAGATGAGAAAAGAAAAAAAAAATTGTCACCGGGGGTTAACGACACACAACGTCATCACCACCCATCACCAGTCCCATCACCAATCTCACAATGGTCTTTGGGAGTCCCTCAAAGGTAACTCCACCTATGTCCTCCTCATCTCCACCTTCATCTTGCCCCTCTACAAGCCCATCAACTTTAACCTTGATCTTAATATTTTTCCCGCTTAATTCGTCGGCGTCAACCTTATCCAAATCCACCATGACATTTATATGTTTGCCCATGGTGGCGGACAAAAACCATTCTTCGGGTAAGTGCGGAAACCACGATTGTTTCTTGCAGAGTTCATCGTCGCGGAATGGTCCATGACGAGGAAATGTTCCTCGAAGCTTACAGATTATTCGATTGCGACATTGTTGTTGACTTTCAAATGACCGGCAGGAACCGTATTTGTTGAGATGTTGGTCTCGGGATGCCATCCTTTGGAAGGTTTTGTAGGTGCTTTCGTCATGAATGAATCTTTCGGTGAGGTCTATGATAATAATTTAAAAGGTTACGCTACACCGGTATTATTAAGTTCAAGGTGATTAGAAATTGTCGGGATCGTTATTACCATGCCAGCTCTTGGGTTGAAGATCCTCGAGTCCGTACAACGATTTCGCGTCGTACAACAATTTCCACTCGGGTTTGTCATCACGATTTGCCGCCCTCAGGTCCATCGAGTATGTATAATGGTTGACAATTTGTTTGGTGCTTTTATCAATCTCGTATAGTCTGAGAATGAAAGAAAAAAGGATTAGGAATTAATACTTTACTTTCAATATTCTCTTGGGTTAATATCGCGATACCTGAACGCCGGGTTCATGTTCTTGAATGAGGTAACGCTTGGGGCCAAGTAGGCAACGCCAACGGGTTCCTTTTGCGTCGTCTGAACGTCATAGATGACTTGAAATTCATCCCAATGAGAATGACCTGAAATTTTCATTCGCGTTGAAGACCATCGTTGAAAAGAAGTGATTACATTTCAAACCAATGCATACCATAGAATTGACCAACGATGGTGTCTTTAAATCTGGTTACAATTTGGGAGTAATATACACCGAAAGATGGGAACGCATCGAGATCAACTGCTGACATGTGCTACACATATGCAGTATGCAATAAACATTACTGTTGATGATCAGTGTATTTTTAAGGCTCATGAAAAAATGAACATGGAGTGGAATAAACTTGCCCCCAGGATCCAAACTTTTTCGCCGAGTGACTCTGCTTCGTGTAACTGTTCAACCATCCATTTCAGCATCCATTCAGGATCCCATTCTTCTCTTGGCCTCATGAGCATCCACCAGTTGAATTTATACCAAAAATTTGTGTTTAATCCAATTATTCGCAAATTATCCTTCGGCAATCTTGTCGAATAAAAACCTTTCTGCTCGATCGACCTCAAAGTGTTGGGGGAGAGCCAACCATTCCACTGTGTCGCCAACGTATCGTATAACCAAGAAACAGAGGAAATACCAATTGATGATGTGGGAAAAGAATTTACCGGTGCGGATTCGTGATTTCCAATGATAGGAAAAAATGGAGTGGATGTAAAGAATCTGTGCCAAATGGATGCAGTCTGATTGGTGGTCTCCATTATGGATGATTGTGTTTCGGACCAAACGTCTGGATGAAAAAGTAGTTGCCCGGAGAATTAAAAATGTCCAGATGGAGGTAGGACAAAAATGGATCTTACGCTTACCATGCGGAGGCAAATCTCTAAATTTTCGATAAAGTGAATCAAGCAAGTAAATCGTGAGCATATTTTCTCCCATCACATAAGATGTTAACAATCTTAGAATTGGAGTTACCCAGTAGACACGATGTAGTCCAACCGAGGCACCACGGTCGGTATAAACTCCAACATATTCTCTATCAACCTCTTGGGAATGTCTGAGGGTGATCGAACGATTTTAGGTTTCGCAAGCCAGATCCGAAGGAGAGCGGCGAGATCGAAAAAACCTACCGCAATTATAGTCTCCCCATTTTCCCGCCGGACTCTTGGCCTTGTCACCGAAAGCATTTGGAGGTCGACAACAAATCGGTTCCCCGCAGTTTACCTCATATCCCTCTTTATATTCGGGATCGTAATGCCAATCGCTCAGGTGAATCATCCACAATCTTTCACCTGTCGTAACACGCGTCTTAACGGGTTGTGGTTCCGGGAGGTTAATTACTTCGGGTTTCTTTGTGTCAGGCTTTGGGCATAGATGAGCCTTGGAGCACAAATTTTCCGCGGAGAACACAGAATGCGCAAGAACTGTCATGGCCCAGGGTCCAAATTTCGGAATTATTTCGGAACACTGAATGTAACAAACATTCATTCGATTAAGCGAATCTCGGAAATTCCAGGAATCGAGATGCACACCACACGTACCACACGATGAGATTGAATCCTTAGGACCGTACAAATTAGGATTCCTTGTTCCACGGTGACTTTTTGTGTGATATTTAGCATCATGACTTCCTTAACTCGACTTGCAATAGCATTGCAAATGTTGCACGTGAGACTAGAGGCCTGAATGATAAGAATTGTTCGCACGTGATATTGATCGATGTTACAAGTACGCGCATACGGACGGCAAAGTAAAAAATGCTAGTAAAAATAAAAAATAAAATAAAAATTTTTTCTTTATTTCGATCTCTCAAACCTGCAACACATCTCCGCGATTTGTGACCAATGATACACTGGGCAGAATTTCTTCTAGAAACTCGTCGTCCAACTCGTCCAGGGTCCTCCCGTTGGATTTGAATGTGTGTTGCAGAAAGTTCGATAAACCCGAAGACCCTATTCGCTCGCTTGCTGTTGGATGAGCACGAATAACAAATATCAGCCCAATAAGGAGGAATAATAAAGGTGCCGTTTTGCGATATCGGGTCATAACTCGGATTCGGTTCAAAACAAAGGACAAAAAAGATACGTGCGTACGTAGGTCACAAGTTTATAAGTTCTTTGGAATTCAAATAGATAATGCGTGTGAGTGTGAGGGAGAGATAAGAAAAGTGATTGGGAGATCTTGACTAAAGTTCTATCCTAACAATTAAAAAATTTCCGAGTCAATAATGAACTTTAATTCACATGACTTGAAAGTGACGCCAAGTGCCGCATTTTCAATAATTTTCAATAGGATGATGTAAATGATGCAATAATACGCTCATGTGCGGTGTGGCATATACTGCAAACAATTCTTGGTTAACACGTATTTTATATTAAAACCTGATGAATTAAATGTGAAATTCCTTATCAAGTGGTGTCGCACAGGGGAAGGTGCGCATAGTATCGGTTCACCCACTTTTGGAATGTTTCAGTATCAGTAATCATTATTATCTATTATCTCTAATCATCACAATGTATTTAAGAAAAAAAAATACGCCCCATTCAACTTTGCTGCTTTCTCTTCACAATAACGCATTTTCTTTCGATTACCAATACTTCTTGAAAAAATTTTTCCTCTCTTCTCCTTTGATGGAACCATCGCAAAATTTTCCTCCGGTAAGAGAACACTTGCCGATTCAAAACTATTCCATAAACAGTGGTGGCGAAGGTATCACTAAGTTTCCTTCAGTCGAATCTTATATGCCTTCTTCTCGCACAATAATTGGCGATGCGCCACACACTCAAAATTCTTTAAACCGAATGAACTCGCATAGCGAAAACCTCGATAACCTCTGTCTTCCTTTCACACCAAGTTTAAGTGTTGACCACAATGTGCAATTCTCGAGGTAGTCAAGTTCCCTTCGAAATTTCATTTCACCTATAAGCGATCCTTCTAGGTATACTTACTTACATAGCATAACACATCGTTTAATCAACTGACATGAACATCTGTTAGAGAAAAGAATTCCGCCAATGAAAATCAACCGGCAGACGACGATGAGAATGACGACAGTGAAGGCGTATCCTATCCCGAGGTTATAAAGGTAAAAAGTAAGAAAATCACTGGCAAATCGGGTTGCATGAGTCATTTATAATTAAAAGGTTCATTTCAGGAAACCGATCCGTTCATAGACGAAGATACTCGTAGAACAGAATTACAAAAGAAATTCTTTTATTTCTTCGAAGAACCGAGGACATTTTGGGCAAAGGTTTTTGCTTTGTTCTCGTCGGTCATAATCATATTTACCATTGTGATGGTCTGCGTTAGCACCATACCGACCGTCACGTGGGACCAAAACTTTTACCGTGAATTTTGGTACGAACCACATCAAGGTTACAATATATACCATAACATCCTGTCATCACCGAATGCTTAGATTCTTTTTCTTCTCCTCGCCATATCTAGGGCTACATTAGACTCCGCTAACATTTTCATATTTATCTTGGATTATTTCGGGCGACTTTATGCCTCGACGAATAAAAGGAAATTTATTTTTGGTATATGCGCATCACATAAATCGGCGACCCTGTTCTTTGCCCTCACGAGTTAATCTCAATTCTCTTGCTCGTCTACGCTTAACAGGATTGGCAAACTTAATTGAACTTATATCGATCATCCCATTCATTGTTCAAGTCGCGAGCATCGATACACAGGTAATTGTTGCTTCGAATATTCTTCGGATGATACCCTCCGTTGTTATGTATTAATTATAATGATCAGTTGTTTGTAAATTCTGCACTCAAACTTCTTAGAACACCGAGATTGCTGAGAGTTATCAGATTACTTCAGATTTCGAAATACAGGACTGCATTTATTGTAAATAAATAAATATATATATATATGTTTATGTGCATGCGTACTTTGCTGGCCACTACCGTTCGAATGCCGTTTTAATATCAAAAAAATTTGTTATAGATCACCTACCGAGTATTTATCAATTCGGCCTACCAAATTTCCTTGGTCTTTGTTTACGCGCTTCTCGTCATTCTCGTGTCTTCCGCCATAATTTGGCCTCTCGAACGCGGTACACTTGGTAGCGACGATATCTATTATCGTGTTAACGAACAAGGCTCCCTCGAAATAAGTCCTTTTCAATCAATCGTCCATTCTTTCTGGTGGTCTATATCCACGATCACCACAACCGGCTATGGAGATATTATCCCCGTCACGCCATTTGGTAAACTTGTTGCTGGGTTGACTATGCTTTGCGGTATAATAGTCATCGCAATGCCCACATCCATCATTGGATCTAATCTTGTGACTGAATGGTCACTCCACCAACGACTTCAATTTCAGATGCGTGTGAAAAAACAAGCTCAAGAACTTGAAGGGTTCGAACGTAACAAAACAAAAAAATTAAAACTCCTCAAGGAATCCAACGAATCAATGCGTCAGGCAATCGTTGAAATACAAGAACTCCTGGCCGATTTTAACCCACCAAAGTATTACCGTAAATACAGAGACCTCAAATCGACGTACTTAAAAGCTTGCGGAAAGATCAATGAGTTGGAGGAACTGGTGAAAAAATATAGGCGCATCAATAAAAATCTTAAACAGTTTAATGAATTGACGCTCAAGAACTCTCGAAGAAATGGTGACCGGAGTGACGACGACGAAGGGGAGGATGATTATGGTAGAGGTATGGGCAATGTAAAGTTATGGAAAAGATCAAGGACTGATGATGTACATACTTCCGAGGGTGAAACGAAGTTTGCATGGAAAGGGTTAAAGGTATCGCCAATTAACACTTTACGAAAAATCAAGAAACCTTTCTCGAGAAGTTTGTCCAGGGAGAATCCGAAACCATTCGGTCGTGGGGAAACGAAGATAATCAGTAAGGAGAACATTGGTCCTCCGATGGAAATGCGAATAGGCTATACGCCGATTATCGATGAAAGACATGAGCATGGGACACCGATGGTTCGTTCGGGAAGTGAACCGCTCAATCTTAATTCTACTTCTAATCTTCGTAATGCCTTGCTCGCGAAGAATCAAAGGGAAAATGATCCTACACATCCGGCGTCAACCCGTGCTGTGAAGGAGAGAGAGGTAGAACCACTTGGGAGTTCAATCGCGGATAGTGACGAAGGAAGATCGAATAAAGAGATGCTGGAAATTGTTAGAGATGATAAGATTGAAATCATAGTGGAAAATTCGCCTCCTACGGAAAAATATTGATCGAGTCTACTGTAATTATTTCGTGACCATGCCTTAAGTATCTACACACTTCCCCACAATAAATGACTGGACGTATCTAATGTACATAGTACAATTGAATTTATCTTTTCTTAGAGTTGGTCATGTCCTGTTACTTTCTGTGGAGGAGTGGGTTTCTTTTTTTTTCTTTAATAAGTGAAGTTGAATTTTTTAGATTCGGTGCTTTTAATTCCGACAAAAAAAAAATTCATACTGACCAATTATTTGTATGTGACGTACTGTACTGTATAAGTAGTACGGTATATTATTAAAAAAGGAATACTTGCAACCGTAACAATTTAAGAAAGTTTTATTTTAATCACTTGTCAAATAATCAATTATTGGAAAAGGAATATCTTAATAGTAAAATTTTTTATTAATTTAAAATACAGTAATTAATTTTATAATGAATTCTTACACACTTGATTTCTTAATATAATTTAGTTTATACAATAAAATTCTTGTGTTATTTATAAAATAGATATTTATTAATATAACGTAAACAAAAAATTTTTTTCTTTCTTATTAAGCTAGTTGTAATGTTTTATTAAACAATCAAAACTATATATATACTATATATTTAATATGTGATATTAGAGTTAAATCTATAACTAACTTATTTTGTTTCTATCAAATATGTTTTAAGTATGACTTTTATTACTCTATTTATAATTCAAAAAAAACTAAATTTAAAAATATCTATCAAATATTGAATTTATTAATTAAATATTATAAAATATTTTATAAAATAATAAACTTTTAAAGATCATTTATAAAAAATATTAAATTTTAATAATAATGCAAATCAATATTATAAATATTAAATTAAAAATAAAATCTTTAATTCTATTATATTTTTATACTTATAAAATACAAAAATACAAAAGTTTATTTATTTTAGTTCAATTTATTTACTGTATTTTTTTTTTTTGAGTACTCATAGTTAGACTAGATTGTCAGTTTATTAATTAATTAAAAACATAAGTACATTTTCATTTGAACAGCATAATATATACTATAAATAAACTATTATTCTAATTTAACTAACTCGTTATAAGTATAAAAGCCTTTAAGTTCAATCTTGAGAACAATATTTTACTTCACAGTATCGTTAAGTAAAAACTCTCCTAGTCCACTGTATTATTGTCAGCAGGTTGTTATTACCATATGTCGAATAAAATCACTGGAATACAAGAAACTACAAAAGGATGAATTAAAAAAAAAAAAAAAAGGAAAATATCTAAAATGTCTAAATAGATAATAAGAAAATAAAAAAATAAAAATTGAAAAAAATATTTCTAGCTTTCTTCAAAGACCTACTTCTTAAGACCTCTTCTCAATAAAAAATATCCAATTGAGATATCCTTTCTTTTCCTAACTATCTGGAAAACTTATTTATTCTTGATCTTAATTTTCTTCTTGTATACTGTCTATGGAGACTTATTATTTAATGGAAGTCTTTACTTTCAAGACATACTTGGTTTCAATCTTTTTTAAGCAATAATTTTTTATTTACCTATAGTAAAGAAATAACTTATAATAAATCTCAGGTTCTTAAGTGACCTAGTAGGAACTGGATCATATTGTTTTAGTATATACCTTTCAGCAACTATACCTAATTAAAGAAATTTTACTAATATATATCTTTTATTACTCAAAAAATTAGATTTCCCAATAATCCTTTTGCCTTTTAATAGTAGGAAAGTCTCAAAAGTGATAAGAATCCTCATCAATTGCAATATTCTTTAATAACTTCTGAAGAAATGTATTCTTAACTGTAATCAAAGGATTTGAACTTAGTATGGACTAAAGACTATTCAGTTTTATTGCTTGTCTGAGATAAAAAGAAGATTTTGGTTTTGAACTTTACCTAATCAGGATAATAGAAGAGAAAAATCTCAGTTTGAACAAATAGTGACTTTTTTATTACCTGGAAACTTATTGCTTGTATCTTATTGATTTTATTGAACTTGATCTATAGGTTAATTCAATTGAAGGAGTAGAGTAAACACAAGACATCAATAAACTCTTTTAATCACCAATAATATTATCAAAATATATGAGGTAACTAATAAAAACTTGTTTATATTCAGTTATTAATATGTTTTGTATCAACCATTCAGATACCAGATGATATTGTACTATCAAAAATTCAGAGTCAAATCGAAGTAAGCAAAATTTCTCAAGAAAACTATAAAAAACAGTAAATACTTTAAGAGAATATAAGACAGTATGTAAGAAGATAAATAATAAGCCTTTCCTTATCAACAAAACTTCTATTTCTTGTCACTTCTAGTTCTGTAATGTAAAAGACTTTATTTCAATAAGTCAATGAACAATTGTTATTTGGCCAACAAGACAACAAAGTTGTTTTATTTCAGGAGAGGCTTTTCCTCTCTATATAAGAAT